CAGAACACTGCCCTTGTCACACCCCGTCGTCACCAAAGGAAATGAATTATGAGGATAAGAAACAAGGGATGATGGGTGTTCCGGTTTTCCCCTTCCATAGGCCTCAATGGCCGTCACACTCCTTGAAGTCTTGAACTCGTTTTTCGCCCCTCGATCGTGTACGCACAAAGTCGGGGGTGGCGTGGCAGGCATCGCCTCGCTTGTAGTTTTGGTTTCCCTGAGTGGTTCTGCTCTTTGCCTTGAGTGGCTCCAATGTCGACTAAACTCGAACAAAGAAGACTGCATCAGGAGGACGGCCGGACAGTGCGATGTTGTAAACAGGTATCGATATTGCCATCTTTTCAGCCGTATAGAGACCCGTATGGCCTCTCTTGTTATAAGTTGATAGAAGTGCGTGCTGGTATGCTGGCGACTAGTAAAAACATCAAGAGGAGGATGTTCGCAGTCGTGACTAAAATTTGCAGTAGCGTAAGCATGTCCATGATGGCTGAAGAACGATAAAAACCGGAGGAAAGTCAGATTTGAGATTTTAGAAGATGTGTGTGAGGAGGAGAAAGAGCGCAGAGAGAGGTGGGAAAAACAGGACACTTATAAATAGCATGTTCCCGAGGATGACCTGCACGCACACCAAAGACCAGTTTGTTTTGAATGTCGGCCAATTTTGAATGCATTTTCTCGAATTCTGTCCCTGCACAGGCACCGCCAACATCCTGCAAGCCATCTTCTCGTGTGTCTCTGCACAGTGCACTGCCATTGATGCCATGCATGCTGTCCCAAACTTTGAGGATTCCCCGCAGAAGCTCATCTGCTTTCTGTAGATGCTGAACTTGAGACGATGGAGGTCAATAAAACCTTTCTGACCATATCTCTTTTCATTCAAGGCTAGTCGCTCGTTTTCGCTGTTCGTTCTCCGTGTCATTCCTCGCAGGACCGCATCGCTTCCAACTTGCCTGTCGGTCTCTCATCATGTCCACCTGCTGGTCATTAGTTTTCTCAATTCCCGCCTCCTCCAATCTCCTTCATACCCTATCCGCCTCTACCATCGGTTGTACAGACACTCTTATGTGCCAAAACGTTTTTGACAAGTAACGGCGCTTGGCTGTCCTGCGTTGTCCATGTTCCCACTGTTTGTTCCATACAAGCGGACCGAGCATGGATGGGTAGCGGCGACGAACCAATCATATCGATGTTTGACGCCGGATAAGGAATGTGGGCCAAACGGTAGTGGAACCAAAGCCCGAAGTTATTTTGAATGTCGTGAGTGCTCCGGAAACACTCTGAATAGTACCATCTCCTGAACATGGTCGTTAGACGGGCATATCGGGGTTGACAACGGCCATGGTGATCCAACCTGTGGTAGCGGCAGGCTGAATGAACCTGAGCGACGAATGGAGTAGGCGCCAAAACATGGCTTGCGGAGGTCGATGATAGTGTCGGACATCGGTAACGGCGCGTCGTTTGGCTCGGTGGGTCGGGGGGCTGTGCTGTGGTGTGCATGAGAGGAGATGTACGCAATGCGTTCAAGTAGAGCTGCAGAAGTATGGAATGGTCCAAGTCGGAATCTGATCACGCATACGAGTCAGTCATCAGATGCCACGAGCAGCCAAAGCAAGCTCAAAAACACGGCCCGTCGTCCGGCTTCCCCTTCGATCGCTTCTCCAGCTGTCCAGCATCCAAGGCCATGCGACACAAACTGACTCTACGGAACGGACCGTCCAGACGTTCATGAATTCGATCGGAGGGGACATCATTATTCACGGCGAGCCGGGCTGTCTTGGCGGGTCACTGGTGTCCATCCGTATAAGTCTGAGCATGGCGATCGGACGCAGCGGTCTGTATACGGTCTGTAGGGGTAGTTCAAGCGTCGGGGTTGTCTTTGTTGGAGGTAACGGAATGAT